CTTCTGTTTTCTACAATATGAAGCAGTTTCTAATACAAGTCTGTTCTATAAAATAAATTAAATGTGAAAGTAAGTTGAAAATTACTCAAAAATTGTTAAGAATCAATGCTGTGACTAATGTGTGCTCCAAACTTTTGCTCAAGATGGGTTTTGAACTCTGAATAAGGAGATCAGCTATAGAAGCAGAAGATTCTAGGAAGAAACAGCTCAAAATAACATATTTATATAAAGTGATGCATAACTTCCCCAAAATTACAAGATCACTCACTTTGGGAGAGTGAACTCACCAATGGGAGAGTTCACCAAACTTGATATCCTGATGATCGCGGGCATTTGGGTCTGCCAAGTCCCTGGACAGCCTGGCAAAATGCACTCTTGTGGGAGTGCTGGTGGGGCACCCAACAGCTGCCAGTGCCTCGGCTTGGTGCTGGGTGATGCTCGTATCGCTTTCGAGGCATGTGCAGGACCAAGTTTGGAGGCCAGTCACTACATAACTGACTGTCTTGTGAGAGCTCCTGTGACTTTGGTGGGAGCCTGCATGTTGCATTTTTGATTCAGACTGCCTTCCTTTAAATAGTCCTGTTTATTGGCCTTCCTTAGGGCAGGCAGTTCTGCTTGACAAGGCCTGCAGCAGGTCAACCTAAATATACAGGATCATCAGGATCCGGTTCTATGTGCTAAATTTTACCCAGAGAAGGTGCCAGAAGTGAGTGAGGCAAGAGTGCTGTGCCCTTTGCATGGGAGTACTGGCAGCACTGGCACCTGCTGGCAGATAACTGAGTGTCACCGTGGCTTCCAGGAGCCCTGGCCCCTCTTCTTAGCTGTCATGACAATGTAAAATATGTTTGCTCAGGAAAGAGAGGAAAACAGCATCCGCGTTTGAATGTCAGAGTGAACTTAATGGAACACAACCATTCAGGAGCCTTCCAGTGATTCTGTCACTCCCTTTTAAAAACAAAAAGTCATCAGCATCTTGGATGGTAACAGACTACCAGGATTAAGAGTCTACCTTGTCTGAGGGTGAACACTTGGTGCTGTGCAGTCCCCCAGCATCAGGCTACAAACTTTACATTCACTAAAGCCAGGAGAGAAGGTGAATGGAGACAGATGCCTTGGTAAGTGCCATTTATTGGTACATGAGTACTGGGCAGCCTGAGATGTGTGCTGTGTGAAGAGGTCATTGCCTGAACTAGCTGTGTAGTTTTTCTGATCTCCTGGATGAGGGCTGATTTGCTTTTGCTCTTCTGTTTTGGTGTCTCAGGTATTTAATGAGCGGTGCCGAATTCACTACAAGCCTCCGAAGAGTCAATGATGTGGGATATTTTCCATCAAGGTGGTCCATAACTGTGAGAGCCAAACTGGAAAGAGACCTTGGGTGAGCTGTATTGGGACCCTCCAGAACCAGTAGAACCCAGTCTTGTTTTGTTTTGGACCTACTTAGCTGACATCTCAAGGCTGAAGTGATTCTCCTGTAATTGAGAGAAAACAATTCATCTTTTGTACCAAATATGTGAACAAATGAGTTTTATAGTATTAAAATAATTTTCAAATGGAATGCAAAACTGGCATCTTTCTTGAACTTCTACAGCTTCAGCAGTCCCAGAGGGGAAGAAACAGTAAAAGGCCTCTCTGAGCGGGGAGAACAAGGCCCTCCCTGACCTGGTGCCTGCTAAACTATCAAGTGAGCGTGGTATGTTTGTGCAGCAAATCTGCTAAAGTCTGCACGGAAATAAAAATTGCAGAATAATCAGCATGTGTAGTAGATTCAGCATCCCTGAAAGTAAGAAACTGCCAGCATTGTTCCAAGCTGCTGAACAGGAGCAGCATTGGCTCAGAGCTGCGTGTGAATACAGGTTTGCCATTGTTCCTGCAATGCTGACAGGCAGCATCTGTTGCATACTGTCCTTTAGTATGTGTTACCAAGTTCTGAATTTTTCCTTTGTATAGGGAATGAGGTGTTGATTAAGACCACTTTGAGTTGGAGATGAAGCTATGTCTCCTTTGGGAATGAGACAGTTAACAGTCCAGTGATTATTTTTTGTCCCACCTTCTGAACCTTTAAAATTAATTCTACAAGTGAATTGCTTTTGAGCTGAGAAAAGACCTGTGCATAGCTGACCTTGTTGATTCTGGCCATAGTGTTGTGTTAGGAAGCTTTAATGCAATACCCCTGCAGTAACAGACAGATAAGTATGAGGAAAACTGAATTAATAATAATTATACCTTTATTTTTTACTAACTCAAGCTGTCAGTCAAATTACAAGGTCTGCATGGTTGCCAGCTAGTTTTATTTCTCAGTCATATATCTTTAATATATCTTTAATAACCACTGTATTTGAACAGAGCATTAAAAATACAGGCTCCATCTTGCACTTTGGAATTCAGCAAGAGGAATGAAATTACTGCATACTCTCAAGATACCTAAAAGCTGTGCATATATGGGGGTGGCAAGTACGTGCAGGACCTTTGACACTGAAAGCTGGCAAAGATCTGTACAGTATCATCTGTTTTATAGTTTTTTGTCCAATAGAGACTGCAACTACTTGGTGACCTTTTATTTTTAGGCAGCAAGGTCATTTAGTCTCTTTTTTTTTTTTTCTGAGAATGAGGCAGAAATATATTTTAAATCTTTGAGGATGTAAATCCTAATGTTCAAACTTCATTTTTTTTCTTTTTTTTTCTCAAGGTACTGCAACTGTTCTATGCAGAACTTTATTCGAGTTGGAGCACTCATCTCATTCTTGAAGATTTCTCATTGTTTTTCTGCAACTCTGAAAGCAGAAAACATGTTTGTTCATCAACCGTTAAATTCTTATAATTGTTTTTCATCAAAATGGAAATCAAATACTGCTCTGAACTATGGGCTGAATTAGCAGTAACCTAAATTCATGACATGATCGATTAATGAGATGTTGAGAACAGTCAGCTTTTATTTCAAAGTCAGTACTTTAATAGTGACCTCTTCTGTAGGTGTCTAAAATACTTGTTCTCTCCGTGGCTTGGGTCAACTGCAAGGACAAATTCTCCTTTTGAGCCAGTTGTATGATAGAGTCTTCTGCTAGCGTAAAGAGTTGGCATCAATACTCTTGAAATTTAATCTTGTGTTTCTGTAGAAACTAGTGACTGTAATGAGAATTAATCATTTTCCTCCTTTGTCCATCCAGATGTTTGCTCAGCTGTTGTGGGAAAGCTTATTCACTTTAGCAGATGCTGTGAAAAATGACCTGTGAAATGGATGTGATACATACACAGATTTTTTTTTTAAAAATTTGTTATGAGAAAACTGTGTAAAACTAAAACACCAAAAAGCCAATCCAACGTAACATTATTTTCATTTTGAGTATAAGGGCAAAGAAGTAGCCCTCTACAAAGCTGTCTCTGAAATACTTCAGACACCATAAGAAGACTCCTAGGTCCCAAACATCCCTTCTTTGGGTGTCTGCAGCTTGTATGCAGAGGGTTGCACTAAGAAGTTGTATTGCTCCGTTTAGTTTGCTCTGAGTACTGAGGGATATCTCTTACAGTAGTCCATGGCAAATCATGTGGATCAGAGGCTGTTTGTATCTTGCTGTTGAACTTGGTGGAACAAGAAGGTGAGTAAGTGGAATTGCATGCTGAGCTTTGGGGCATGGGGCAGGAGAACATGGCTCTGCTATTTTCTGAGTCTTTCAGATGTGCCTGTGAAGGGGGATGGTTTGTGATGGTCTGAAATGGCATTGGTATGAGCTGTGGGCCACACTGAACACAGGCTGGTAAAATCTCTGTCTAGTGACCCCATCCATTCTAGGATCAGGCTTAGTCTGGATTGAACCTTGCTTCAGCGTTACCATGGAGGTAGTTACAAAACTACTGGGCTCCTTGGTGTCACATGGGAATCAAATAATGGACCCTACAAAGAGCATGATTAAATCCTTTTCCTGGTTTTAACTTTTATTTCTGCAAGTAAAAGCACAAATTCTAAAAGAGGGGACAGGCGTTAACTTGTAGATGTTGTGCAAGAGATGGAATGGGAGCCACTGTTCTTTTCATGCTTTTGTTCCAAATCCTGTTTTGTTACATCTGAAGCTGACTAGAGAGGGGTGTAGGCGAAGGTTGGCTAGGGTGAGGTTAATCCATTGCCACTGATCATCTTTGATGACAGGTCTGTGAAACGTCAGCACTTCAAAGTGACTTCCTGAAGTATATGTGCAGGATGAGTACTGCATCCCAGTCTTAAAACTATCACTGGATTTTGGGACAACCATTAGCAGTTTTAGCAGCTCCCATTCCTTTTCTTCCTGAGAACTGGAAGCATTTTTCTCTTGGTTCAGAAAGATGTTGTCTCGAGGCAACTGTTTCTCCTCAAATGTTTTTCATGCCCTCCCATAGCACTGCTGCTCAAGTTTGGGACATTTTATCAGTAACAGCTCTAATACTGCTCTATATACTGTTGAGTTTAGGGCCCCTAGAGCCCCAGATTCTGAATCTCAGGTCCTTTGTACCAAGAACAGGCCTAGAAGTCAGGTGCGAAGTCCTTGTTTAGAGCCTGTTGCATCACTTGTCACCTGTGAGGAGGAGGGTCAGTAACCTGGGTAGCACACTGGTAAGTCTGTGCTACACAGCCCCCACTGTTGTGGCCATAAACACGCTTGTTTTGGGCAAACTCCCTCATGCTGATTGCAGCAGAAATGCCCTTTGCCTGTGTGCAGCACGTAGTCTCATTTCACCTACTCCCACGTACCCACCCCTGGAGACTACAAATTGTCTGGTCTCTTGCTGTTTCTCTGGTCCTTGCTCTGGAACAATATTCCTCATGTTTTCTGGAGAGAGGGATGGCAGGAATATGAAGGGGGAGTAATTTTTTTTGTGGTCTGGAAGTATTAGTCCTCCCTTATCTAGGAGGGCTGGTAACACTTATTAGTCATCCCTCAGTAGGTTTTGATCTTTTTCCATTCATGTGTAGTCATGAATGTGACTGTGCCATGTCTGTAAATGGGAATTAATCCTTCTGACTCTATATTCTGCATGGTGCCTGTTTCAGCAGTGTACCTTGGCATTAGGACAGCCATTCTGCACACTCTGCTCCTCTAGCAAGAGGGATCGTACTTTGTCTTCCCAGAACTTGGCACTAGGGTTTGAGTTGAGATGTAAATGTTCCTGTATATTCAGTTGTTATTATGTATTGCCTGAATGCAGCTCTAGAGCTTCTGCTTCTGATGGGAAAGAAGCAGAAATACCATTCTTGCAGTACTTACCTGAAGCTGGAATTTAATTTTTTCTACTTCTGGTACTGGTGTTTACCTTGGCACCTTTCTGGTTAGGCAGAGGGAAGTCAAGTCACTGAAGACAAGATGCAGTCTGCTCCTCTTTCACATTGGGAAGGATACTGAGGTAATAAAATTCCAAGTTGAACGGGACCTGCAGTAGGGAAACTTCTGCATGCTTTCTTCTGATCTTGAAAGGTATTGGGACTTATGGGATGTGACTTTGATCCATTTCCTAAGTGCACAGAGCAGTTATCTGCACATGGATGGAGAGGCAAGAGATTCCATTTGCAGCCCAAAACAATTGTCTTGAGATGTAGGTGGCTGGGGTCTGCTGTTTGCTTTCCTTATTAACCTGAAGACTGAACTCTCTTAAGATTCTTAAAGTGCTTTTTACTTTTATTATTAATATTATCAGCATTTTACATTGCTCCCCCCCCCCCCCCCCCCCCCCCCCCGTTTTCCCAGTTAGTTGGCTTCTCCGGTTCAGTAATGGTAGGCTCCATGTGTTGTAGGTCCCATGATTCCATGACACTGTGGGATGATGACCCAGGAGCCAGGCAATGGTTAAGGCTGCCTATTTATGGCCTACAGTGGGTACCCTCTACGTTATCTTTGCGGATGGAGATGGGCATGGCTGACGTCAAGAAAGGATGTGTTGGCCGAAGGAGGAGGTGCTGTGGAGCCAGGATGATCATCTTTTGGCTCTGACAAACAGAACAGACCAGAACAAAATCATAAGACCGGAACCTTGAAGCATACCAGGCCCAAAAATTAAGACTCATTTGAACAGGAAATGCAACCCCCCTGCATATGTCAATAAGGTTAATGAAGTACGTGCTATCACACATGACTATGTTACTCAGCTCTCCAGTTCGATCACGCCATACATAAAAGGAGGAGGAGGAGACCATCGGGCTGTATATAAGGAGGGTAGAAACTTCATTGAAGTACAGGGAAGACCCAAAAAGACCTCAGGAACAGTCAACAGACTACTCTCCTCTCTCTCATCCCAAGCAGGAACGTCTTCGTGGTAAGCCTTTCTATCTGTTACTATTCCCCGGGTTAGTAAAACATTATTATTGTTGTTAGAGCTTTGTTGCAGCAGGTGCATTTACCAATGGCAATTTCACATCTGAATTTCTGTGGCTTCAATAAACTGAACTGTTTGTGAATCTGTGAGCGCAAAAGTTCTCCTTGCTTACAATCAAAGTGTAAAACACACTATTTGTGAATCTGTGCTCGTGGAAGTTCCTATTGAACATGACTAGAGTTACAGTGATGAATTGCTTCTAATCCTAAATTAAGTGTAGCCATACCCAGCCCCTCTTGCCCCAAGGCCCAGCTGGAATGCAGGGGGGTTTATTTTCTGACAGATTTCTTACTCTAATTCAACACATACATGTCTCTGTGTATGTGTGTGTGTCTATATATATATATATATGCAAGATGCCTGGTGACTCTGCTCAGACTATGCTAAACTTCCCTCTTCAGATCCACCTGTCATGTTAAAGCAGTCACCTATCGCTGGGGGCTTATCTCCCCCCGAGTGTGCTACTCAAGAAATCCAGGATATCACCAACCAGGTGAGTTGTGCCCAGTCTATAGATGAAGTCTCTGTGTTCAATGAGCTGAGTGCTGAAGGTTGTGTAAAGGCTGAGAGACCAGATGGTGATACTGAAGTAGGGTTTAAACTGGCTACCTTCAGTGAATGTTCACATGTAGTTCAAAGCCCAGCTCTGCTATGCCAGCGCTGAAGTGGCTTGTTTGAAACGAGAGGAGGCGTATTTGAAGGGAGAAGTTTGTACATGGTAGAACTAATTCCTCCCTGAAGGGCATGGATGGGACAAACTACATGCCAGTCTGCCCTAAAAAATGATTTAAACAGGACAAGGCAATGGATAAATGGTATGTTCTCTGCTGGCATTGTTTTCTGGAGTCACAACTATGATGCAAGGGCAAATAGTGAGCCCGTGGGGCAAGGTAAGCTTGGCACAAGGCAGGCAGGTGGTTGATCACAGGCAGTGGTCCTGTCCTGGAAGCAGCTCTGATAGCAGCAGCCCTGCAGTACAGCAGCTCTTTTTCAAATAAGTATAAATTGCATCCTTAGGAGCTGTAGGGGCATGGGAAGACTCCGTCTGTGTGTTCCGTCTTGTCTTCCCACTCACTTGAGCCCCTTCAGTCTCTGTCTGCAAGATGAGTTCTTCCCTCTTGAGCCATTGCACCAAGTGTAACTTATGCCATCCTTGAGGAAAGACCCCCAGGAAAGGGTAGGGCTGAAGGCATCAGCCAACACTGCTGCACACTCCCTGTGCAGGGCTCCCAGCAGGATTGATTTAGGTAGTGCACAGGTGGAGTGGATATCATTTAAAACCTGCTTTGCTTACTTGAAGGTATTTAATGTCACACAAGGCTTGTGATTTAGCAGAGGGATACAAATATTCTGCTAACTCAATGCAGATCTAATTACTCTCAGCAAAATGTAGCAATTGCAATACACAGTTCAGTGATGACACTGGTGTGGTCTCTGTCGCTGGTCTGTATAACATGCTCCCTGTCACGACACTAAGCTCCTCAGTCACCAGGAAGGGGTCGGTGGGTTGAAGCCACTTCTAGCCAGCTGTTTTTTTCAAAATTCTTGTGTTCCCTGTTTAGTTTTTATACTGGGTGTTGGGCAGAGCCACGTATTCACTCCCTCCGTGCTGGTCTGGCTAATTCAGAAGGGGGTTCCCTTTCATTTATTGAGCTCAGAAAGTTATGCCACCTGAATGATTCCCTCGACTGACAGAACTATTTGTCTAAAACACCCTGTGGTCCCCTTGGTGTTGAGATAAAGTCAGCTTATCTGCAAAAGCTGTGGTCAGTCACACCCTGCATTATCCCAGGGGGTTTTGTGGGCAGCACATTGCCCTCCCCAGCTCCCCTGAGCCTTCCCCCATTGTGGGGTTTAATTGCTCAGAAACAGCTGGGCTCACCAGAGTTGGGTATATGTACATGGGGGAGGGCTGAAGTATGGGGTAACAGGTCAGTCAGAGGGGAGGTAATTTACTGCAGAACAGAAAGAGAAAAGGATGATCTACAATTGCTTGGGGGACACCAATTTAACGACTCGGGAGCAGTATCACTGTTCCTCCTCTGCTGGCACAAGTGGTTGTAGGAGCAACGCTTGTAGAGATGAGGAATTCCCTGTTACCTATGGAGGGGAGACCCTAGCAGGGACTTGTAGCACCTTTGTTTATTTGCCATTCGTGTTCGCTCATGTGTAAGATGAGGAGGGAAATGTCTCAGGCCAGCTGGGGGCTTGAAATTTGTCTAATGAGTCTTGTGAAATGCCTCAAGGGCTTCCTTTGAACATGGCTGGGCCAGTGCTGCATCCCAGATACTGAGCTACATTTTCAGTGCTGGGCTGTGTCATTTCTGGGTGATCAAAAGTATTTCGGCACTAGGCTGTCAGTGAACAAACAGGCTCAAATTCCAGATACGAATGCTGGTTTCAGGCTGTGCTAATGCTCCCAAAGTACAGGGCAAATATGACATTTGAAATGTGGATGTAGAGATTTTCTGTTTGATTCCAGAAGAGAAATGATCTTAATTTTGGTGTTCTTTCATTCTCAGTAACTTCAGGAGAATGAAAACAGATGATTCTTTGCTCTTTATTTTCGGCCTTGTACTGAGAGTAGGAGAGAGAACTGTTCCTGGTCCCTCCCCATCACAGAGGCTTGGGTATAGTTCTCTAAGGAAAATACCCTTATGTTGGGGCAGTCCTTCTGTGCTTCCAGACTGTGCATATTTTAGAACAAAAGCATCAGAGGACCTGAGTGCAGCTCTGAGGTTGTGAAACAGAGCAGGGATTTTCAGCCTCCCAGGCTGACTGGCGTGGGCACTGGTGTTCCAGGTGAGGAGAGCTGGCTTGCACTTCTGTGTAACAGTGTGGTTGACACAGGGTGTACCCTGATAGGGGGCATGGCTTGGTGCCTCCATCCTTTGATCCAGAATCAAAAGGGCAGCAAGTAGCAGTTTGCTGTCTGTAGTGAGCAGGAGACTTCAGCTGGACAGCTTTGGAGCAGGGGAAATCAGTTAGGAAATCTCCTTCTCACAGGATTTTAAATAGTGTTGGAGGCAGTGCTAGGAGGGAGGGCTGGAGGTCCTGGTGTAAATCGATTTAGAGTGGGGGTTCTGGATTTATTTTATCAAGGATGTATGTTTGAAAGGATGGAATTTGAAGTGGTAGATGTGAAAGAAAAGCCCGAGTATGAACCTGCCAACCATTTTTCCTTTTCTTTTACAGGTGAAAGTACAACTTAGAGTCAGGGTAAATGAGAGATATGACCTCTTTAGAGCCATACTCTACAGGACTCAAGTAGTTGCTGGGATAATGTACTTCATTAAGGTTTGTATATGATATAGGAGGGAGTGCTTTGCAGATAAACAATATAGGTGACGTGCAGAGTAGCTTAGAGCTGGAAAGAGAAGCAGATGTGGTAGAAAAGCATCTGATGTAATAGAGATGGGGACTATCTCAGGATGTTTATAAAATTCCTCTCTTTGGCACTACTGTAGAAGAGGAATAGTTCTTTTTGTATTTTCAAACCCCTCTCTCTGCTGTGGAGGAAAACCTGGTCCTGCTTAGTTTAGATCCCTCTGAGAGCACCATTCATCCTCTACTAGAAAACCTTACCCACGTCTGTGAGCAGCTTTCTGTGAAGTAGCACGGAAGAACTTGCTGGCTGTGGCATCTGAAGGCCAGCAAGCACTGCTGAGCAGCAGGCTGGCCTTCTGGAGCAGAGCACACATGGCATGGGACTGCTGTCTCTCAAACCCCATGTGTGTGGGGACATGGACCTGGTGGGACCCTGACAAGGGTCGGAATCGTTTTATGAAAGAAATTGTCTGGTAGCATTTGTGGGAGAGTAATTCTGCAGAGAGATGTGGTGAGCATTTGCTCCACACTTCTCATATTTAGTTGATGACAGGAAGGACAGACAGTGCCAAACATCTCTCCCAGGTGCTTTTTTAAAATAACACCAGTTATTTGTGCTCTGTGGGCACCAGGGGACTGTACTGACAGACTACCTCTTCTGTGGCTAGTCAGTGTCTTAGCTACATGATTGATATTTATCCTTTCCTTGCTCCTGTGAGATGTGCTTTCATGTTGTGGACAAAGCACTGAGTAAGGAAGAGTAACAATTTACTAGGGGGCTGAAGTACAGCCAGAAGTCATGCCCAGTTGCATTCCAGATTTGTCTCTTCTTTCCCAATCTGCAGACAAGGCTTTCAGGTTGTCATTGCTTCTCAGGACCACATGCTGGTTTTGGATGGATCTTTCTGTACTTTCTAAGAGCAGATGTTGTCTCTGCATCTTGTCCCAGCCCTGAGTCATTAAGACTCACTGGGTCTTGTCTTCCACCCTGAGTGTGCCAAGAGGCTGAGAGCTGATGTGCTGACATCTTGGTGACCAAAAGAGGACACCATCAAAACCTTTCTCCTGTTCTGCCTTCTGGTGCTTCCACCCTCAAGCAGTCCTGCTCATTTTCCCTTCATCTGAGACTGAAGGTTTTTAATAGAGTTTAATAGAGTTTAATAGAGTTTAATCGAGTTTTCTCCAGGTGTAGACAGTTTTCTGCCAGCAGGTATTACCCAGATTTGGGTGAAGAGCTGTAGAAGTAAAAAATGGAGATAGAACCTCAAATTAATCTCCATGGCAAAGACAGTCTTTCAAGTATGTAAAGAGCATCTTTTTGTTTGAACCTGCTTCAAGCCCATGCTTCTCACTTTCCCCCTGTTTTGTTTTCTAGGTCCAAGTTGCTGATACTGAATATGTCCACTTAAAGGTGCTTGCGGGCCCTCGTCCAGAGAATGTATATCCTGCCCTTGTCAGTTTTCAGACTGGCAAGACCAGAGATGATCCTCTGGACTACTTCTGAGACACGATGAGGGCAGTGCTTCACTTCTAGAAGTCACATGGGGGTTCTGACCATGACAGTAAATGCATGAAAATAAAATAAGGCTTGAAAGCTGTTTGTTCATTTGCTGTGTGTCATGCCTTGGGCTGCTGCCCGGCTAAAGCTCAAGTAGGCTCCAAAATACTGTTTCAAGCTGTTTCTGCCACCTGGGGTACTACAGCTGTAAGACAGGGCCCACCCACTTCAGCTCCTCTTTCCAAAACTCTGTTGGGTATCTTGGGCTTTTTGGGTTTGTTTCAGTGCATTAAATGCAAGCTATTGGCGACTTGTCAGAAGGAGTGTGAGATAGACAATTTCTGACACGGGGGAACTGAGAACCCAAACTATCCTCCTTTAAGTGCAGCTTCACTCACAGGGAGGAGAGGGGTGGTGGGGCGGGGAGCAGGAATGTATGCCTTGAAGGAATAGGAAGACAGTCTTCTTCCACTGTTGGTCAACAGAACCCTAAATTTAACAGCAGCAGGTATTAGAAACTAAACGGAGCTTGTGGACTATCAGGGAGGACATGGTGAGAAGCATGAACCAGACTGGGGAAGAAGGCATTGTTTCCCCTGCCATCACCTATAAATAAATGCTCTGCTGGGGCTTTGAGCAGGCAGAGCTCTGCCAAGTTTGTGAGGAGACTGGGGATGCAGGATCAAGCTCTTTGTTGAGATGGTTCCCTGCCTATCAGCCAAATTTGCTGATGGAAATCTCCCTCCAGAGCTAATCCACTCTGTTGTTGCTTCAGTAACAAATGGTTCAGGAAACACCACACTGGGGCATGCTTTCCAGTGGGATTTTGAGCCATGGCGAGTGGGATGGGGCAGCCATCCATGTCAGCATCTTCTGGAAGGACATGCCAATGGAGGTTCTCAGGCTCCAGCTTTCAGCAGAATGATGTTCCTCAACTTGTCTTCATCAGTGTTGTATTGTGTGACACCCAACAGGCTTTTGGGCACATACCTGACCAGACCTCCTCTTCCCTTGGACTCAGCAGGATGAGAATATATCCCCTTCTCTGTGCATGGGAAAAGAGTTTGGTTGTAAATCACCTTTCTAAAGAGGGTCCTTGCTCCTGAACTTCCCTTGTGCCCAGAGTGTGTGTCACTGCCATTGGCTGCAGGAGTGGCTCTCAGGCAGCCTGTGGAGCTGGAGGCCTAGAACTCCAGGTAAGAGTACACTGAGGGGGTGGGGGTTGTGCCGCGTTCCGAAAAAGGGGGGAGGAACGTACAATGTGTGTGTACATAATAAGTATAAAGTCTGCTTCATAGAGTCTGTTCAATCACTGTACATCCTTTTCCACTTCTGAGATTTTCCCCATTCTGATTCCTAGTCCTTCACGGGGCGGGGGGGATGCTTTTCCAGCAAGTATATCATGATTTTTCTGTTGCTATAAAATCATAGAATTATCGAATTATGAAGGTTGGAAGAATTTGGTCGTCATGAAGCAGACTAAGAGGAGGAGGCTCTTTACTGGTACCACAGGCTCAGCATAGGCTGGGATGAGATCTTTGTGCTGCTGAAAGTCAGGTTTCTACTGATCTTTCTTGATGTATGATGTCAGAAATCTTTTGAAATCAGGGTGAGGAGCAGAAGGGGAAACCTTTTTTTTCAGAGCAACGTGGTGAAAGTCAAGACTGATGTTCCTGTGATCATGAAAACAGATCTTCGACTGGTACATGGAGGGCTGCTTTCCTCTAGTTCTTGAAAACATTCAGACCATGTGTCATACAACCCAGTCACAATGAGGTATCTTTACACTGTGAAACCAGAAGGCTGAACTACTGACTTGGGCGTTCACAATTGTTCCTCCAGAGCTGCCTTTGTTTCTGCTTTAAAAATGACTTGTAAATACATAAATCTGGGGTTTGGATTTTGGTCAGAGGATTTTTATATTTTTGTTTGCTTTGCTTTGTTACTGTACCAGTGTTTTTATTTACTGTAGCTTGTAGTTCTTAAACTTGCATATACAGGACCAGGCCATAGGTGGCCTGCAAGCTGTAAACTTTGTTTCTTCCTTATTGGGGTAGTACATGGTGCAAGATGTTACTCCGCTTCACAACTCTAAAGAATGCCAGAGATGTTCTGCCAGCAGAGATTCTCCAATACAACAGGAGTAAATTGAAGGGAAATTCTCATCTGTGCAAATGCAGAGTGCAGGCTGGAATGGTACGTAATATCAGGTGTCACAAATCCTAAAAGAGAGGACAGGTGTTAGCTTGTCGATGTTGTGCAAGAGATGGAATGGGAGCCACCGTTCTTTTCATGCTTTTGTTCCAAATCCTGTTTTGTTACATCTGAAGCTGACTAGAGAGGGTTGTAGGCGAAGGTTGCCTAGGATGAGGTTAATCCATTGCCACTGATCATCTTTGATGACAGGTCTGTGAAACGTCAGCACTTCAAAGTGGCTTCCTAAAATACGTGTGCAGACTGCATCCCAGTCTTAAAACTATCACTGGATTTTGGGGCAGCCATTAGCACTGCCATGGAAAGAAAAGAGATTGATCTGCCTGTGTAAACTTCAGCATTGTCTTGCTGACAATTAGTGCTGATTTTCCTTCCCTTGTGCACAACTCTGTACCATCTGGGAGAAAAAAAAATTCTTATGCTTTGAAGTAAAAAACCAGCAAATTCAGAAATATGCAGTCCAATGAATGATTTGGCACAGTATTAACATCTCTAGTTTCACACCTAGAGTTTTTCCGAGGTTATAAATTAACCTTCCTAGACTTTGTGCTCAGTGTATTTCTTCTTAATTAAAGTAAAGTATTTTCCGGGGGATTACTGCTGTCCTGGGGACCATAACATCCCTTCTCAATGAAGTTACTGAGGTCTGTATCCTGGTGAGCAGACAGGTTTATAAAATACTCTGTTTTAGCACTGGTGCTTGTGTGGTTGTTGGACACATTCTGTGACTTCTGGCCTCAGTAAGGTGAGCTGGCTCTTCCAGTCACTTATCTGTCCTGCTGTGTGAATAAGACGCATAGTAGCAACTGTGGTGGAACATGATCAGCATTTCGGTGAATCAGCAGGGTCTTGTGCAAAGGAGGGATTTTGAGCTCATCAGCTTGAATTGTCATTAGCTCCACAAATGAGGTTATGAGCAACTCCGTCTCTGGAGAGATGAAGTTGGTGAAATTGGCAGAAATCCAGTTTTAACAGCTCCCATTCTCATTATTCCTGAGACCTGGAAGCATTTTTCTCTTGGTTCAGAAAGATGTTGTCTCAAGACAACTGTTTCTCCTCAGATGATTTTCATGCCCTCCCATAGCACTGCTGCTCAAGTTTGGGAAATTCTGCAACACCTTTATCAGTAACAGCTCTAATACTGCTCTATATACTGTTGAGTTTAGGGCCCCTAGAACCCCAGATTCTGAATCTCAGGTCCTTTGTACCAAGAACAGGCCTAGAAGTCAGGTGCGAAGTTTAGACCCTGTTGCATCACTTGTCACCTGTGAGGAGGAGGGTCAGTAGCCTGGGTAGCACACTGGTAAGTCTGTGCTACACAGACCCCACTGTTGTGGCCATAAACACGCTTGTTTTGGGCAAACTCCCTCATGCTGATTGCAGCAGAAATGCCCTTTGCCTGTGTGCAGCACGTAGTCTCTTTTCACCTACTCCCATGTACCCACCCCTGGAGACTACAAATGGCTGGTCTCTTGCTGTTTCTCTGGTCCTTGCTCTGGAACAATATTCCTCATGTTTTCTGGAGAGAGGGATGGCAGGAATACCAAGGGGGAGTAGGTTTTTTTTGTGGTCTGGAAGTGTTAGTCCTCCCTTATCTAGGAGGGCTGGTAACACTTATTAGTCGTCCCTAATAGGGGACTAGTAGGTTTTGATCTTTTTCCATTCATATATGGTCATGAATGTGACTGTGCCATGTGTCTGTAACTGGGAATTAATCCTTCTGACTCTATATTCTGCATGTTGCCTGTTTCAGCAGTGTACCTTGGCATTAGGACAGCCATTCTGCACACTCTGCTCCTCTAGCAAGAGGGATCGTACTTTGTCTTCCCAGAACTTGGCACTAGGGTTTGAGTTGAGATGTAAATGTTCCTGTATATTCAGTTGTTATTATGTATTGCCTGAATGCAGCTCTAGAGCTTCTACTTCTGATGGGAAAGAAGCAGAAATACCATTCTTGCAGTACTTACCTGAAGTTGAGACCTTTCTGGTTAGGCAGAGGGAAGTCAAGTCACTGAAGACAAGATGCAGTCTGCTCCTCTTTTGCATTGGGAAGGGTATTGAGGTAACAAAATGCGAAGTTAAAGAGGACCTGCAGTAGGGAAACTACTGCATGCTTTCTTCTGATCTTGAATGGTATTGGGAAATACTGGGTGTGACTTTGATCCATTTCCTAAGTGCACAGACCAGTCATCTGCACGTGGGTGGGGAGGCAAGAGGTTCCAGTTGCAATCCAAATCAGTTGTCTTAAGATGTAGGTGGCTAGAGGCTAATGTTTGCTTTTCTTATTGATCTGAAGACTATACACTCTTAAGATTTCTGAAGTGCTTTTTTACATTTATTATTATCAATGTATTACATTGCTTTTTCTCCATTTTCCCCATTTTTCTCCTTCGCCAGTTTAGTAATGGTAGGCTCCGTGCGTTGCAGGTCACATGATCCCATGACACATGTTTATGTATATATATGAGATGCCTGGTGACTCTGCTCAGACTATGCTAAACTTCCCTTTTCAGAATCATCCATTTCAGAACCACCAGTCGTTTCAGAGAAGGCATCTGCCACTATGATGACCGGGGGGTTATCTGACACCAAGGCTGCTACTCCAGAAATCCAGCATATTGTTAACCAGGTGAGTTGCACCCTATCTATAAATGAAGTCTCTGTGTGCAAAGAGCTGAGTGCAGAAGGTTGTGTGAAGGCTGGGAGACCAAGTGTTGATACTGAAGCAGGGTTTAAACTGAAAAACCTCGTGCAGAAAATGGGAATCCCCTTGACTCCCAGTTTTTTCTCTATCTCTTCATTGTCCATAGCCAGGCACAGTACTGGCTACCTTCAGTGAATGTTCACATGTAGTTCAAAGCCCAGCTCTGCTTTGCCAGCACTGAAGGGGCTTGTTTGAAAAGAGAGGAGAGGTGGCTATTTGAAGGGAGAAGGTTGTACCTGGTAGAAACAATTCCTCACTAAAGGATGTGGATAGGACAATCACATACTAGTATGGACTAAAAAATTATATGTTCAGGAGAAAGCTATTTTTAAACAGTGTGTTCTCTGCTGGCATTGTTTTCTAGGCTGACAGCTGTGATGCAGGGCCTGCTGGTGAGCCCATGGGGCAAGGTGAGCTTGGCAAAAGGCAGGCCAGTGAGCCCAGTTGCCAGGTAGTTGGTTACAGGTAGTGGCCCTGTCCTGGAAGCAGCTATGAGAAGCAGCTCTGCAGAACTTCTAACGTCCTGCAGTGCACCAGCTCTTTTTAAAACAAGTATAAAGTGCATCCTGAGGAATGCAAAGTGAATGACATAGCATGGGAAAACTCCTTTTGTGTCTCCCATCTCATGTTTCCACCCATCTACCTTCACCCTCAAGGCTCTGAAAGATGAGCTCTTCTCCCTTTGGCAACTACACAAAGCATAACGTAGGCCCTCCTTGAGGAAACAAAACTAGGAAGTGGTGTGGCTGAAGGCGTTGGTCGATACTGCTGCACACTCCCTGTGCCTGGTGTGCAAGGCTCACAGCATGCACAGAATAACCAGGGGATCAGGACCAGCCAGCAAGGGTTTAGGTAAGGCAGGTCCTGCTTGACCAACCTGATTTCTTACTATGTCAGGGTGACCTGCCTAGTGGATGAGGGAAAGGCTGTGGATGTTGTCTACCTGGAGCCTTTGACACCATTTCCCACAGTATTATCCTGGAGGAGCTGGCAGCCCATGGCTTGGACAGGTGCACTCTTCATTGGGTGAAAATCTTTCAGGATGGCCGGGTCCAGAGAGTGGTGGTGCATGGAGTTACATCCAATTGGTGGCTGGTCACTAGCGGGGTTCCCCAGGGCTCAGTGTTGGGGCCAGTCCTGTTTAATATCTTTATTGATGATCCAGACAAGGGGATCGAGGGCACCCTCGGTCAGTTTGCAGATGACACCAAGCTGAGTGGGAGTGTTGATCTGCTGGAGGTCAGGAAAGCTCTGCAGAGGGATCTGGACAGGTGGATTGATTGGCTGGGGTCAACTATGTGAGGTTTAACAAGGCAAAGTTCTGGGTCTTGCACTTGGGTCGCAACAACCCCGTGCACCGCTACAGGCTATCTCCTTTGACATGGAATTCAAAGGGCAGCAAGTAGCAGTTTCTGCTATACTGAGCAGGGGACAGGCAGTTCAGCAGGACACCTTTGAGTTAGGGGAAATCAGCTAGGAAGTCTAATTCTAACAGGATTTTAAAGAATGCTGGAGGCACTGCTAGGAAAGAGGCTGGAGGTCTTGGTGTAAATTAATTTAGAGTGGGGTTTCTGGATTTATTTCACTAAGGGGGTATGTGTGATATATGTGAATGAAAAGCTGAAATATGAACCTGCCAGTCACTTTCCCCTTTCTTTCTACAGGTGAAGCCACAATTTGAAAGCAAGGAAAACAGGAACTGTGCCATGTTTACAGCCATAGCGTATAGGACTCAAGTGGTTGCTGGGACAATCTACTTTATTAAGGTTTGTATATATTATAGGAGGGAGTGCTTTGCTGTTAAACAATATAGGTGACTTGCAGAGTCACTTAGAGCTGGAAAGAGAAGCAAATGTAGTAGAAAAACATCTATGTGAATATGATATGATTAATAGAGTTGGGAACTATCTCCAGGTGCTGTTTGGCACTACTGTAGAAGAGGAGTAGAAAAACCTCAAAAACATGCACTAGGCTTCTTCAGATGGGACTAGTAAATTTCTCAGGATAATCTCATTCAAAGACTTACCAACTTAATGATTTAAACAAGTTGTAATTCTGCTCTCTTTCCCTTCAAAGCAAAGTAGCTTTCCTCTTGTGTCTGTGACCTCCTGTTGTGTTTACTATGCTGAATTTGAAGTCAGACTGAAGATCAGATGGAGAGTTAGAGTCCATTTTGTAATGCAGGGCAAGCATCTCATAGTCTGCTGACTAGTTTTGCAAGCAAGCAGGTGTGTTGATGTTTTGGTTCTGCATCACGTGCTGCAGAGGTACTGCCTGCCTGCTGGTTCGTTCTGTATTTTCCAAACCCTCTCTCTGCTGTGGAGGAAAAACTGGTCCTGCTTAGTTTAGATCCCTCTGAGAGCACCATTCATCCTCTACTAGAAAACCTTACCCACGTCTGTGAGCAGCTTTCTGTGAAGTAGCACGGAAGAACTTGCTGGGTGTGGTTTGCATCTGAAGGCCAGCAAGCACTGCTGAGCAGCAGGCTGGCCTTCTGGAGCAGAGCACACATGGCATGGGACTGCTGTCTCTCAAACCCCATGTGTGTGGGGACATGTGCCTGGTGGGAAATGCTCCCCTGACAAGGGTCGGAATCGTTTTATGAAAGAAATGGTCTGGTAGCATTTGTGGGAGAGTAATTCTGCAGAGAGATGTGGTGAGCACTTGCTCCACACTTCTCATATTTAGTTGATGACAGGAAGGACAGACAGTGCCAAACATCATCTTTCCCAGGTGCTTCTTTAAAATAACTCTTATCAGTTATTTGTGCTCAGGGGACTGTACTGACAGACTATCTCTTCTGTGGTTAGTCTTACCTACATGAACGATGTTTACCATTCCCTTGCTCCTGTGAAATGTGCTTTCACTTGGCGGACAAAACACTAAAGAATATAGATTACAGGTACAGCTAGAAGTCATGCCCAGTTGCATTTCTTCCCTTAGGGCCATCTTATTGCTTACCTGGGCAATGTAAAAAATTGTCTGCTGTCCCTGCTAAGTCTCATGACCAAACTACTCAGAAATGAACATTGACAAGTAACTGAACTTGGAAGAAATCCACCTGTAACACTGAAAACATGATTTGTCTTTTCTTTCCAACTTTGCCTGTGATGGGAAACAGTTACTCATTTTAGCAGTAACTGGAACAAGCTCTGTCACAAGATTCATTCTTTCGTATTTCTGAATCTTCCACATCACTAATGTGTTACCAGCAGACGTAGCTGATATGTAATCCAGACCAAGACAAACATAGTGCTACATTGAAGCCACCAGAAAGCATGTAAAACCAGTGCCTAAGGCGTTAAACTTTCCATTGATACTATGTACCTCACAGAGGGAGAGTTTAGTGCCTGTTGTGCTTGGCTGTATAAATGAAATGATACAGCTTCCTATCAAGTCTTTATGTGAGGACTTTCTGGAGAGGAAGGTGAATTTCTTTGAAAAAGTATTTATTTCAGGCATGCACATGCACACTCACAAGCACCAAGATGTGTCAGGTTGCCCATTCAGGCACTGAACAGTTTAGAGTAACTCTGCAGACAAAAGCTCCTGGCTTTCAGGTTATCATTGTTTCTCAGGACCATGTGCTAGTTATGGATAGATCTTTCTGTACCCTCTAATAGGTGACACTGTCTCTGCATCTTGTCCCACCCCTGATTCATTAAGATTTCTTCATTGTCTCTTGTCTCCCACCCTCAATGTGCCAAGAAGCTGTGTGCTGGTGCGCTGGCATCTTGATGACTGAAACAGGACACAACCAAAACCTTTCTCTTGTTGTGCCTTCTGATGCTTCCACCCCCAAGCAGTCCTGCTCACTTTCCCTTCACCTGAACCTCAAGGTTTAGACAGGTGTAGACAGTTTCTGACACTGGTTACTATCCAGACTTGGTTAAGAGCTGTTGAAGTAAAAATGAAGATGTATCTAAAATTAAGCTCCCGGGCAAAGATATTCTTTCAAGAACATTAAAGAGCATCCTTTTGTTTGAACCTGCTTTGAACCCATGCTCCTCACTTTCCTGCTCTTGGTTTTTAGGTCCAAGATTCTGATGCCACATATGCCCATTTAAAGGTGTTTCAGAGTCTTCCTCATGAGAACCAAGGTCCCAGCCTTGTCAGTTTTCAGACTGGCAAAACCAGAGATGATCCCCTGACCTACTTCTGAGAGATGATGAGAAACTGTGCCTCACTTCTGCAAGTTGTGTGGGGGTTCTGCCTGTGACAGTAAATAAAATAAGTTTTGCAAACTATTGTCCTTATTTTCCTTTTCTGCTGTTATACCTTTCTTGTTATCTGGTCTCTCATCAGATTAAAATAAAGTATTTCTAATTAAGGTATAGGATAAGCATAAGGTTATCTGGAATATAAAAAACACGTGGAAAAAACCCCTCAGAGCAAGATAATAACTAATACTGAAAAGCAGTAAAGAGAGCACTGAAGCACCAGTCAAGTCAAAAGAAATATTTATTGTTATTAATACAGGAATGCTTGGCCAGCATAAGTTCCTTTTCAGGACTTTTCCATACGACTGAGAACATAAGCAAGCTGGTTTGGTTTTTTATACTTACTCACCCTCTAAGGGACATTACAGGCTACTGCTGCAAGAGGATGAACATGATTACCAAGTGAATGTTTGTTTCAAAGTACTGTGACCCTCTATCCCTTCCCTGCAAAATGGTTTCAGCTCAAGTCTCTCTTCATGTCTTTGCCAATAAAATACATAGTACAGTTGAAAGCTACACATGTATTCACAGTTGCAAAACAGCACAGAAAAGACAGGCTTTCCTCTTGCTTCTTGCTACAAATACACAAGTACTAGTGTCACTCCCCTTCTGATTTCCAGACCAAGGAAGCCCACAAACAGGACTGAAGTCCAAGTTAAGTTGCAACTAAAGTTGTGTTTGCATTACTGCAGGTAATAGGACAGCTGTATGACTCTCAAATTTAGAGACTGCACAGGAAAGGAATGACAGAAAGAAATAATTTTTTCCCACCATTACGTTAAAAAAAGACACCTTTTTCCCTCCTTTGTTGGCACAGGAATCAACATTTCTCAGCCTATAGAAAATGCACGTAAGAAACCATTAGGAAAACGGACAAGATAAGCTTGCTAGAAATAAGCCAGTTCATCGTGCTTCGTCTTGCTGCTCTGGTAACTGTGGAGGCTCAGCGGCTTGTTCTCCTGGGGAAGGCTCTTGAACACCCGCAGGTGCATGAACTCATCATTGCCAACATGGACCTGCAAAGCACGAAACCCAGTGAGATCCGTGGAGTGAGAACAGCCTTCAGCAGGAGGGATGGTGTAGACTGGTGTGTTTTGAGGATTGGGAAGCAGATAGGCAGTAAGGAAAACCATCGCCTCAGAAGGTGTGGTCTTGTTTTAAACCAGACTGGGAGCCATGATTTTTGTGGAAATATCACCTAATCCTCCCATGAAAATGAAAGTAAGAATATTTCTCTATTTCACACAGTCAGGGAAAGGGGCTGAGAGGTGGATTTATTTTTTTTTTTTTTTAATGCACAATTTCTTATCAAGGCCAAATTGTAAGCATTCTTCCCTAGTCAAGTAATGGAAAAATCCCACCATTCCAAAGATTAAACACATTGATTAAAAAAAAAAGTCCCAGTGCCCTCTACCTTGATGAAGTAGTTTATTCCAGCAACCACCTGAGTTTTAAACTCCACTGCAGTGAAGACATCAAAGGTTTTCCCTTCTTTTTCTTCTAGCTGAGATTTCACCTTAAGAAAACAATAGGTTATTTAAGACTGATGCAAGATTCAAGTATTTAGGACTTTAGGCCTACAGGTCACTGCTGCTGAATTCCCAGGAGTTCCTGCTTTCCCACATTATTAAAATATCAAAATGCATCACGTTAAGTTTTGGGTTAGAGCAGGACCAGTAATCTAGGGAGGTGGCAAAGCTGAGTGTGGTGTGAGTCAGTTGCCACAGACTGACACCAAGTCTGCACAACACTTATTTGACAATTCTTCCAATGTCTGCTGGAGTCTATAATGTTTTCAAAATGCAAATCAGTGCTCAAGAAGTCAGAATGACTTGTTGAATACCCTAGAGGGAGGCATGAACTCCTGTGAATTGCAGCTCTTCTCTCCCATGCTCAGCTGTCTAGAATATCATGGCTATATGGTAAATTCTTGGCCAGGAAAGAAATTTCAGCCTTTGCTTACCAGGGCAAGATGAGTTGTCCTGGAGTGCTTGCTGCAAGTGCAGTTCTACCCAAGCCATACCTCCTGCATGGCCTCATTGTGTAGTTTTCCCTCCACTCCCAGTGCAACAGTACCAGCAGCAAGCAGATTTTCTAGCTATATCCTGTACCTCCTCTTCCTAAATTCAAGGGGAATAAATGCATCTGCTTTCCTGCATGAATCCCACCCACCTGCTTCTCTGGAGAAAAACAAGTGCCAACTTGCCACTGCTCCAGTGCTCTAGGTGAAGTAGGAACAGAAACAATTCCTGCAACATGGTATGCTCTCCCACCTCTCCAGCACCCTGAAGGCACAGGACCAAAGTCTGGTGCCATTCCAGTGACCATCCTGTCCCCGGGAGCTGTGAACATAATTTTCATCTTATCTCAGAGGCCATATCTCTAAGCTTCTTCCAGGCTATGAACAGGAAGATAGCAAGATGATGATGTTTGGACACTTTTCTAGTTGTTTTTTTGCCATATGGAATTCAAAGCTAAGATGCAATGAGGGGCACAGCCCCAGAAAGCATTGGGCAGTCCTACTTCCTCCCCTTCCCCTGAGTCACAGGGTGGAGCAAGTGGTTTCAGTTTTCATCACTAGATCTACTTTTACAAATTTTAAGCAGCAGGGTGGATATAAGTATCCCACTGACCTTATCCTGTCTCGTGCTCCTTTAACAACCCTAGGCATTGTGCAAGGTTGGTCTCTGAGGTCTCAAAATTGCCCCAGCTCAGCACATTTTGTACTTCCACCAGCAAGCTGAACACTGGGCTCCATGAATGCAGGCAGCTCAGAGTCACATGCAGCTGCCAGCTTGTCAGGGTGTTATAGTGGCAGTGACTCACCACAGCATGTGACAAATGAGCACTCTGATTCAGTATGGAGAGGGAGATTCCAGACGCAAATACTCTCCAAAAGGGCTGGTATCAGCTCACCTTGGCAGTTCATGATCTCAGTGTGGATATGGGGGTCCTGGGGGACACAAGCCAGCACTGTGTCGTGGTGGTAACAAAGGTAAGAGCATACTACTGAGCATCAGCCAGGAGCCCAACCAGAAAAGTGCCCTTTCCTTGGCACTTTTAGAGAACATCTGGAATAATGTGTCCAGTTTTGGGTCTCCAACACAAGAAATATGTCAATAAACTGTAGTGAGCTCAGCGGAGCATTCCATGAGCTCAGATGGCTGGAGCACTCATGCTGTGAGGAGAGGAAGAAAACGAGCTTGCTCAGCCTGGGGAAGAGAAGGCTTTAAGGTAAACTTTCCAGTACCTGTAAGAAGTCAGGCTCTTTACGGAGGAGAGATGGCAGAAGAATGAGACACAACGGTCATAAAATTGAAACTGGAGGTTCAGACTGGATATAAGGAAAAACTTCTCCCCTGAGGACACTCCTGCAGTACAGCAGGAGTGACCAGAGAAGCTGTGGCATTTTCATCTTTGGAGGTTTTCAAGACCTGACTGGACAAAGCTCAGAGCAGCCTGGGGCTGCTCACCCTGTGCTCAGGCAGCAGATGCAGTCCCTTCCCACCCAAATAATCTGTGATTCAATCATAGGACTGAAAATTATCAGGCCATGAAGGCTCTTCACTGCTCTGCACAGCCGGTTTGCTTAGCACAGCTACTAAAAAGCAGATGGTTCTAAATCACCTTGAAGAACCTCAGCCACAGTTACCAGTGAGAAGCCAAAGGCTGAACAGGCCTGGGTGGAAATCCTTGATGTGGAGAGGCAGTTCCTATGAGACTCCTAAGCCAGACACTGCTGAAGGAAACTGTCCTGTTCTGTGCCACACTATACCTGCTCTGGGCGAGCAGCAGTACTTGCCAGGGTCACAAAACTGAACGGCATTCAGTCATCACAAGGATTCTTACAAAACAGTGCAATGAAGGCAAGAACTGGAAAAGCAGGAAGAGGAAGTATTTTTATGGCAAGCGAACTGGCAGGCTCTAATAAATCTCCACAAGGATTTGACTTTAAACAAACAAAACGATTTAAGAAGTCTACCTAGATTAAACAAAACTAATGTTTTCTCCACAGTCTGTCCAGATGAGGATATGACTGTGTTAGCAAGTTTCAGTTTTCGGTCTTTCCACTTGTATTTCATTAAATAATTTAAACTGGCAGTCAAAACAAGTTGGACAAACTCTGAAGTATTTATATGATTTAAATGAAAATGCCAAATTTTTTGTTAATTCTGTCCACTTCTGAATCCAAGAGGGGTTTATCTTCACACTCTTTATTTCTGGATTATCAAACCACTGCAGTCTGCCAGACAGTCAGAATTTCAAAACTAGTTTTAAGACCACGTGCAACATTAATTGCATATTTGCATAAACTTTAACATGATATGTAGACCTTTTCAAGTAAAAGCATTAAGTGTGACTCTCTCATCAATTCTCAATAATGTACTTACTACTGCAAACTGTCTCTTTTTTTATAACACATAATCATTAGACTGTACAAGTTAAATGATAGTTTCAATGACTGCTGTGCCTTTGGATGCTCTGTAGGTGTTTGGGAACTGCTACAGCCTGGGGAGCAAACCCAGGACATTGACAAGGAGCATAATAAGATGGAGCTTGCCCTTCATCTTTCCTTACTAGATGGCCACATGCCATCCATTACAGAAACTGGACCATGAAACTTAGCTGTACACTGGCATTTTTAGAGTAAAAGTATGTGCTCCATTAACACATGAGCAGTAAATTAAGTTACTGTAAGTAATAGAGCATCAGGATTTGGAGCTGGCAGTGCTTGGAGCTGAATTCTGTGTTGGGGATTAGCAGAAGCAGCGAGTAAGTTTTCTTGCTTATTTCCCGATTCTCCCCACGCCCTCAAAAAAACTCCAAACAAACCCAAAACAAAAAAAAAACCCAACCAAGCAACTCCCCCCCCCCAAAAAAAAAAACCCAAACCCTAAACTAAACTAAAAAAAACCCCAAACAAAACACCAAACACAAAACAAAAACCAAACGTAAGCACAAGGTTTAGACTTTGCAAGAACCATGTCAGCTCCTTCCTCGAGCTCAGGACAGGGCACATTTTGGGTTTCCCGGTGGCCGCAGCCCACCTCCCGCACCTCCAGGGCCGGAGCCGGCAGCATCCCGGCCCTCCCTGCGCACTCCGCGCTGCC